TTCACACAGTATTTTAAATGCGTAAATCTCACTTATATTTTGGTTTTTGACATTTCCAGTCAGATAATAGGTCAAGCTTACCGTTCGGTCAGAGTCCGGCTCACACTTGACTGGTTTTTGGGTCCTGAAACTACGCTCAACTCAACTCCCCACCCTGTAAACAATTCCACTTGTTTACGAATAGTCGCGCACCCCATACAATTCTCACGGATCTTAAGTAACACAAACACGTATCCGCGGCTTAAACGGACCACAATCCTTAAAACCGCAAAACTGGCATCCCTAATAGACCGTATCTAGTGATCTAATCCGAATGGAATGTATGAAATCGATATGCTCTTGCTCATTACAGTGGACATTTTAAAGAACTAAAATTGACTCGATTAAATAAAGCTGCCCGCCTAATTAATTAATCCTTATCACCCACCAGCTGAGGCATCAGATCGACATCGACGCAATGGGGTCGTAAAAAAATTCATGTTACAGGTAGGGACAAAGTGAGAAGCGATGGAGCGTACGGTGATATGTCGTTGCAAAGTTCTAGGGATAGGTTACCTGATTTTTTTATGGCTAAAAGAATTCTTTTAATTGGATTTCGAAAGTCGTATAAATAATATTAAAAAATATTATAATCGATAGCGATATTAACAAAAAGACAATCTTTAATTGTTTTTTAATGAAAATATTTAACAAAACAAAAGTGTAAATTGCGTTTAACGTTCTTTTAACATATTGCACAAATTCCTTGTAACAATCTGCCTGTAATCAATTTTCTGGTTAAACGGACCGTTAAATGTTACCAAAAGAGTTTTTTGTACTATATCTGTAGCAGGTATTTTATGTGGAGGCAGGTAAGAAATGTAAAATTTACCGCATCCATTGTTAAGATATCGAGTCTCCCACACTGTTCTGAGCTCCCTATACCTCAGCGCGACATGTGGGCTTCATCGAGCAAAACGGCTGCGCGACTCAAAATAAGAATTGAAGAAAAAACAAATAAAACAAAAAAAGAAGCAAAGAAACAAAATGAGACGGCCGAGTGAACGACGAGGCGGTTTTTTGTCGCGGCTCGTTACTTCCTGCGCTTGTGAATGCCGCGTAAATTACCACATACCGTAAATATGCAGATGCAATTTTATAATTTGCGTAGGGGGCATGAGTGTTGTGAATTTTTTCCCTTTTTTTTGTAAAGTAATTTAACTGAAGTGAAATCAAATGACAGACGTGTTATTTAAAGAGATATTTTTCTTAGTATTTGGACTGTTTAAAGATTATAATAATTTATTTCGTATACTTAGACAAATTTACCTTTTTTTCCTCTTTGTAATTTTTAACTTGCAATACTTCAAAAAACTAACAGTAGAAAAAATATTGTAAATTACAAAAATCTTACATGAATATTGTAAGTATTGTAGAGTACGTAGGTTTTCAGTGTAAGTTTTCAGTGTAGTTTAAATGTTTTATTTATTACAAATTATTCAAAAAATTCATCCTTAAATATTACCTAACTACCATCTATCTTAAACAGGTTACTTGTGTTTGTAACATTCTTCACCACTTCACCAGCCCTTTTACGTCCCCACTGCAGGGGCTCAGGCCTTCCTTATGGGTGGTTAAGGAGGATGGGCCATGACCCTCCACGCTGGCCCAATGCGGATTGGAGGGTATTAACGACTGCAAATGCAGCCGGGACCAACGGCTTAACGTGCCTTCCGAAGCACGGAGTAGCTCGAGATAATAATATTTTGGTCACCCATCCCGTGACCGACCCTTGCGAAAGTTGCTTAACGACTACGATCGCGGGCCGCGGCGCTTATCCACTACGCCACCGAGCTACTCATGTTTGTTGTCACTCAGTTTGTAACATGATTTAAATAAATACGTTGTAATGGTTTAATATTGGTTTATAAGGAATCGCGTAATCATCTTTCATTCACAATTCGTATATACAATATTACGGCAAAGGCATGATAAAGGAAACAATTATTGTTTTCACATACTTACATAGTATAACCATAGAGTCTAAGTATTACTACTTGTGAAGACTAGTATGAGTTATTTAATTAGCCTTTCCTTAAAATGTTTGTCTCAGCATTGTACTACAAGTGTTGATTCAACGTCATAATATTAAATGACACAAACTAAATTATTTGCTGATTAATAATATTATAACAATGGAAGCATACACCGTCGCGGTACCGGATGCCAATGTTACTAATCAATGGGTCAATATTGGCCGAGGCAGATATGGCCATATCTCGCCGCCACACACGACGCTACTAAGCCTATGTACTACTACAACATAAAACGTCTTGTTATAAAACGAGGACTAACTTTAGCTCCAGGTTAAACTATTATCCGAACAACTCTTTTTGATGTTTTCACTTTCTCTTCTTTTTTTGTCTATTTGGTTCAGGCGGCCAATGGTTTAAATCAAATATTAACTACGGTTTATAATAAAACTGAAAGAATCTTGCTATACGTATTTTGTTTCTATTTATTTATCAAAAGCATAAGACTCACATTTTTCTATGTTGATCATGACATATTATAAAGAATTGATCAACTAAATAATACTTCCTTTAAGTAAAAAAGCTTCCAAAACATTATATTTTTTAGAAATGTTTACAGTTTTAGATAATCGACCGCACAGTGTTTATCTTGAAAATTTTTTAGAATTATCTAAATAGTTCTTAAGTTTTTTTCCACATTTAACATCTTCAATGACCTTTTACAAATTGTGATCTGCGTATTGTGTCCTATAACGTTTTACTGATGACTGACTTAACTGCACCTGATACAGGAACCGTAAAGTATCTCCACATTTCTATTAACTTTGAATGGCAACATTATTTTTCTTACGTTACTTGAATGTTGATTTTTTTTTAATTAATAAAGAATCACAGCCTGTTGCACAAACGGCCATTAATATTTTCATTACTTTAAAGTGACATTATCCTTACAAATTTGACATTCATAAGAGTTTTAAAGCGTCATTAACTGGATGAAAAAGTAGTATGTTAATTAATGGAAAATTAATGACCACATCACGCAATCAAAGACGTTTGGTTTTTTATAAATATTTCTTAATTAATATTACAATTGTCTATTTAACAGTTTTATTATTCTAGCCTGTACCTAAACTTTGATATATATCACTATTATTTTATTCGATAAATAAAAAATCATCGTCATAAATAAAAAAAAATTACGTGGTTGAGAAATCTAAACATTCAGCCCTGTACTAGTGTGTATAAGAGACACTGGAGTTCCCCCACAACGGTTGGTAATATGCGGTTTGATAACTACTTCAAAATTACTGAAACGTAGTGTACCTATTGTCGAAAAATTTGTAATGTGCTATAGATAATTAAAATAATTGTACCTTGAAGAGCATTGTTTTTTTCATATTATCAGTGTTATTTACACTATACTATGAAAATGCAAAACTATGATAAATTATAGCATAGTTTTGCTTAAAAAATGTATTTTTAATTATTTATTATTTTTTGTTTTTTAATAGTAGCTATGATTGTTTCTTAGGAATATTACTATATTTTATTCGAACAAATAGATGTTAATTTAAAGTATTTGAAGCTTATTGAAGTGGACATTGTTGCCATATTAATTGACCTTAGATACCAGCTAAGACACAACAAATTAACTCCTTATGTGTCATGAATACTCATGTTGTGTGCGAATGTACACAAATAATGTGTATACAATAATTACTTAGATTATACAAGAATAACGTATTCGTCTGTTGATTACATTTTTTAATAGTATTTGGCAATTTAATAAACTCACTATACTTTTGCAGGTGTTTATCTTCATTTAACTTTAATACCCATATGCGAAGCACAACTGCTATCACAATATCTACTATCATCAAGGTACACTCGACTGCACGTCAGGATGCCACAATATGTCAAATCTCTCCATTTTATTTTAAAGTCTACCTGCAAAAGTTTAAGAACGTCAGGTTACTACGTTCTTTACATTCGTATAATTTCTCGATCATTCATTCATTACACTATTACATGCAACTTCTAGTACCTAGGTAGGCTTTTGCTTCTGTGTTTCCTACTTGAGGTAGGTATCTTTATTAGTGCTGCAACGACTTTTTGGGAGGTAAATCAATTTTAACGTGCAGCCAATGCAAAACAATAGAATATTGGCATTAAAATTACTGCTTAATACAGCCAGTTGTAATAACGTCCATTAATATTTTCATTAGTTTATTGCGACATTACCTATATAAAGTTGAGATTCATTCGTGTTTAAAGGCGCCATTAAACCTTAATGGACGTTTGTGCAACTGACCGACGGTCCTTTAAAGTTATACATTTGTGTATCTACTCTAACAGTAACAGGTATAGGGAGTTACATTAGTGGCCCTATCAGCTGTGGATGACCCATTAGATATACCTTCCTGCTTGAAATGGCCTCTTAAACAGCTGTCAGTCACTAGGTAGGCAGATTATTGAGGTACAAGGCAATTGACCTAAACGACCTAAACCACCCAAACAATCCCAGCCGTGACTTTATACACTTTTTTAAACTTTGTTTAAGCGTTAACTATATTTAAAATAAAATTATAGATGTGTATATTTGAGAAGTATAATACAGTTTCAACTTTGCGGAAGTAAAAAAGTAAGTTCGCATGATACCGATAAGAAGTAAAGTGACAATGATAAGTGTTCATAAACAGGCTTAAAGCCTGTATTAAATACTGCAGCTACCCATCAAAATAAAGACAAGTGAAGCTGGATACCTACCTAGGTAGCTATAACGCGAGAAGCAAGATCTTGGAAACCGTGACACTGACACCCGCCTCACTCCACCCCAAGAAAATCCCCAAATAATACGTATCTATTAGAGCGTATATCTTCGATTCGGCTAAAGTATTCCTCAAACATGAAGATAGTCGACGAAAAATTCGAGTGGAGAAAATATGTATGGCAGGCAGCGGCATGCGAGGGGTCGAAGGATCCGCGGGGATGAGGCGAGGGGGGCCCCTTCTCGCGCGGCGCGGCAGTTTGCTCGTAACGTCAGTTTGAGTTGGACGTGTGTTGTGGTTGTATCAGTGAATAACGTGTGATTAACCGCGCGGATTACGTGTTACCCTTGTGTTGTTTTTGTGAATTCAGTGGTGTGTGTGGTGTGTTGTTTTACTGATTGTGTTCCTGATGATGACCGCGTGTGCTTGACGTGGGGATGTATCCAAGCGCGGGCGCAATGAACGCCGCTGCCGCCGCCGCTGCCGTGGCGGCCGCCAGGCATCCGGTGAGCACATCTCTAGACTTCCCTCCTTTTCCCCCTACCTAGCGATCATTAAGACTTTATAATAGTGCACTCTATCAACAACAACACCTATACACTTTACAACAATCGTTCATTAAGAAAGATAAGTAAGGGAAAGATCACCGAGTAGTATCATTTCTAGCAGCACATTATTCCTCATTTTCAATTTAGTTACCTGCATATGGGCATATCCTAAACAGTCGAGTCAAAAAAAGTGTCACGTTAGCTGCCCGAAAGTATGTTTTTCTTTCTTTGCACATAAAAGAATGGCACAATGGAACATAAATGGCGTAAAACAAATTATTTACGACTCAGTGTTTCTAACAAATGCAGGGTTGCATGGGATACCCCCCGAGGAGGCGGGCCGGCCGGCGGGCATCGGGCGCGCGGCAGATCATTGTCAAGTACTCAATTACCCTTGAAATTGTGTGCGAAAAACTTTATCATACTTTTAAATTAAGCGACACTATTATGAATAGCTATTTGTTAAGCAAATAATTTAAGAAATAATGAGTGTTGTGGTTTACTTTGAGAATCTAACTCGAATGTCCAATATTGGTCTTGAATTAAATACTTTTGAATTACTTATAATTATAATAGTACATATATTTTTAATTAAATAGAAAAGGTTTAAAAGTTATCTGACCGGAATCGAACCCAAGACTTCAGAGAGGATGACACCTTGAAACCGGCGTGTAAGGTACGGAGGTCATCTGCATATTTTTTTGCGGGAAACAAGTGGATATCAAACAAAAACCTGTCTTATTGTTATTATGGGCGTTTCATAGCTTCAGTTGCTCTCACCGCAGCCAGGCCGCAGTGTATCATCTGTCGCTGCGTTTTCCAAACAACACCGATACACCTAGGTACTAGTCACAGTATAAAACATGAAACAGTTAATAGATTTGGGATCGATTATATTTAATATTATATTAGGAAATAATTATTAGTTTTATTTATGAAAACATTTCACTTACCTACGTGGGAACAATAAATAATCGAAATAACATGCTTATGTGATTTTGTACCTGATTTCTGTTAACGTTTTCTTGTAGTCGTCCATTACATTTTATTATCAGATCGTTAGATCTAAATCATTATGAAGTAGGCAACATTAATTCTAGCGTCGTAATGGTTGATTATATCGCTGTGTTCCCACACGACGTCTGCGATCACCTCTTCACAATTTTATTGTTGACATTTGTCACCATTATAGACTCACTATTGAACTAGCCGTAACAGTTCGATTGTGAAAGTACTAAGGTCGTTTGTTGTTTTATTACCTAATACGTTTATCGAATCTAATCGCATTTTATTGTGAAATACAGGTTATGTCGGTGTCAAAACAAGATGCATTTGCAAATAAATGTCCAATGAATCATTTGGTTTTGTAATTTTGGTCTTTATGACTAGAGCAATACAGTGCATTTCCTGTGACGATTAAAAATCTTTAAGGAAAGACTTTCTTATCAAATTTTAATTCTTCGACATCTTTTAGACGACGACGATGTTCCATATAATTAGTTATTCGTTTTACAAAATAACACTGAAAACGCAAAATTACTAGGTATTTACTATTGAAATAGACATCTATTTTGCTCGTCTAACAATTATATAAGTTTATTGTTATAAATAATAGTTTATTGCTTAAATGCTGATAAGGAAGACAATATCGCTTATTTTATGTATAGTAAAAAAAAATTCGGAATTGCCCCACTTTTGAAATTACTTCAAAGTATCTTATTTAATAAGACTTTTTTTTAAAATAACTATTGACTAAAATTAAATTATATAATCATTTCATTTTCGACGGAAAAATACTAAAAAAGCACAGAAATAAATTTTGACATAAATAATATTGAAAAACAAGTGACCTTATGTTTCATGAACCGAATGGGTACCGAAGTTTTATTAAATGACATGGACGCAGACGAGGTTAGAAAAGGAGGTGTTAATTTAAATGCCTATTTACTCAAAATCCGTGTCGCATCTAGCTCGGTCAATATTAGCCCGGTGGTAATACCGCTATGACAAATAACACTCCGTCGCCGTCGCGTCATTTCGAGATACTCGACGTTTTCTTCAAATATTGTTAGGTGCTTTATCGTGTATCGGAAATACGGAAATTAACGTTCTCTCATTAAGTTTCGTGTATTTCAATGATTGAATTGTTTCGTTCGTAATATTTACAACCGCGCTAAGAGATCAATTAACCTTACCATGAGTCATCTTTAGTTTATTTTCATGTAGCACGGCTGCACGTGAGGTTACTACAATATGTTAAATATGCTCAATTGATTTTGAACTTTACCAACAATGCATTAAGGTTTTAAATAAAGTGTAGAAATTTTATACTTTTGTATAACATGATGTGCTATTAACTGTTTACTTGATTAGCGTGATTTAAATGTTTTTTTTTAAACGTTTATTTTGGTTATTGTTCTTTGCTCTTGTCTTTAGAATAAGTTAATTTGTTAACTCGTATCAACACATCATTGAGATATCCATATTTTCATGAGGATATGTATACTAAAAAAAATGTTCGATTCGTACCATAGTAATGAAAAATTCGATGTTCATACCTATATTAATCATAATAAATCCATAAATAGTAATGTTAACATCTATCACTGTTATCAGTGTAAATGTATGTATTTCGTGAAATGGGATTATCAAGTTTGATAAGCGAAGCCCGAGTCAATATTCACCCAAAATAATTCGTTTGCAGTGAGACAGTGAGATATCAGGTTTATCAGCAAACAAGCCATTTGTAGTGCGCAAACAATGTTCGACGCAATCAAGATTCCATCTCGAAAAACGCCTCGAACACGTTGCGTGGGCAAATCGAGATTACAAATTACACATTTTTTGCAAATACAATCATATTAATGAAATGGCAAAATTATGATCGTTAGACAAAATAGGTCTACATAAAATACCTGAAATTCGATTTAAAATGAAGACAAAAAGAGTACGAGTTTGATAATTACATAATTTACTTGGTAAAACATTTCACGGGACGAATGATGTTGTTTTGCTAGCAATTTTTAATTTTTGTTTGCAAAAGCACAGCCACTCGGTTTTAAAACTTAGTTTGTTGTGGGTAGAGTTTAAAATCGACATTGGGAATTCGAAATGTCGTGTTAGCCTAACTGCTGTGTGTACAAAAAAATAATAAATAAATAAAGACCCTTTCTTGTGATTCGAATAGCTAAGAAACTCGCGCATAGTTTCTTTACCTGCTCCAAAAATAGGTATATTGTTAGAAATAATGTGAGACAGATGAGCTCAGAAGTTAAAAAATCAATTAGAAAAAAAACATGAAATATAATAAAACTTAAGAATTAATTATGTTTATTTTCGTAGAATACTGACTATGAAAAATGTTCTTAAGGGTATTATGGAAATATGTATCATTAAAATTAGCATATTTAATAATATATTTAAGTACTATTATGAACTATCAAAACATCTCCTATTCACTTTATTTGAAAAAAAAGGAGCATTTTTTATTTCAGTGTGGCGTAAGCTTATTGATCGGGTTAGTCATGATATTGTATATCTAAAAAAACAATATATACTCTATCTTAGAATCCCTCCGCTACCATATTAGTTTAACTAACATTTTGGAATAAACGTTATATTAATTCAATGATAAACAAGCATTTTTAACGTTTGACCATTGCATTAGGGTAGAAAATACTTTGAATCAGTCGGGCGTTAAGTCTTTATGCTTCAAAGCCAATCTCGATGTTCAAATATTTGTCCTATGCTTGTTTGGTTTGTAAGTGCGAATGGTGTTTAGATGTTTACCGAGCCGCTGAACTTGTGTGTTCTCTCACTGGAAATGGTGAGTTTATAATATTACTAATAAACAATTGACATCGATTCTTTTTATCTAATACCAAATTGAGAATATAAAATTAATAATAAATATACAAATATAGTAGAATAAAATATAAATAACGTATCGATACGGTAAATGTTAAACTTTGTATTGATCAATATGATATGAGCGTCATAAATAAAAAAAAAACTGACAGAATTCATTCAATCGTCCTAATCCGAATTTCAATAAAAGCAAAACTTCACCGTGTACCAGGTAGACGTGGGCAGAAGGAATTATTCAATAATTTGAAATAAGAATAAGTTTATTTCTTTTTATATCCGTTTAAGCGCATTCTGTTTAGTTTTGTTTTTGTGAGTGGTCGCCGTCGCTGGCTGGATGCGGGCCTTTCATCCGGGCCCTCTACACAATACTGCCACTCAAAAACTGTTCATTGTATTTTAATTTGACCTTTTCGGCGATAATTTATGAGAAACTTTTTTGTCGAGGGGAACGTTTACTCAGCCTATTATTGTCGAGATTATTTTCGTTTCTTTGTGATAGGTTTCGAATGTTGAGACTATTATTATATTGAAATGGTTACTAAGAATAACGATTGATCAAGAAAATGTTTTTGAAGTATTTATAGATTTATTCAATTATTTGTAGTATTGTAGCGCTAAAAACATTTTAGTTGTGTCTATGTCTTAACATTTTTTTTTCTTTATAATATATATCGCAATATATAAATGTGTGTAGAAAGGTCGATTTAATAGTTAAAATGAAATAATTTGTTCTGTAGTATTTTTTATTATGATCGTGGTAATAAAACACTTACCTATTATGTGTCAGGGGAGAGTGAAAATAACATGCGGTTCGCATTAGCGGCCACAGATAAAATCGAGATAACACTGAATAAAACAAATAATTAAACTCGCCCGTAACATATTGACGGAGATAAAATAAAATGCCTCGATGAATGTATAATGCCTGCGGTCACAGGGCTGCCAATAATCTTCATTTATTATTTCAGTATAGTTATTAACTTAAAAAAATATCAAATAACTACCTATAATTAACTAAATCTGAGAATTTAGCCTTTTTGAACTTCATCAGCTTCATATAAATTTAACTCGTGTTTTAATTAAATACTTTATCTATTCGACGTAGTTATGAACTAAGAGCTTATGTTATTAAAAACGTGTTATAAAGGTGTATGTACACAATCGGTGCGGTGCGACATTATGGTGGTCATGCATGCCACACGCGAGCTCACCCGCAGGTCGCCGCCCGCCTCAGGCGGCTACTGTCAGTATCGTTTTGCTCTTGCCTTCCAAATACATTAGTCTGTAACTTTCAATTTGCTTTTTATTATCCGGCCATCGGAACACTTGAACACGAATAAATAATTGCCCGAGTCGGTTCACACTCTTAACTGGTTTTTTACAACGTTGAATTCTAGATAATTATTTAGTCAAGTTTATTTATTGACTTTTAGTTTTTTTAATCACGATTTCCTTAATGTGAATATTTACACATAAAAGAGCACAATAAATCATTTCACTCAATAAAATACATCATTCACCGTAATACATAGTTAAGGAATATTAAACGTGATCGAGGAAGAAGTTGATGGTTAGTGTTTTTTTTTTTTTTTTTTTGTAGAAATCTTCTATGATATGCAGGTAATTATAGTAGCTGAAAGTGTCAAGCAGATCATGATAGATATTGTTTTACGGACACTGGCACTCTTTCCTACAGTATAAGTGGAGATGTAGTTCAACAATACTATTTTTAAACCTATATTATAAAATGAAAGTCAAATTAAAGTAATTAAAGGTTATTTAGTGAACGTTATCTTTGCTTTTCTTTGTTAATGACTATTCATAAATTGTAATACAAGATAGGTTTACCTGCGGTTAGCATCTTGCGGGCATCACATTATTAAGTGCGATCAAGCATTACAGTGAGACATCGGTGTCGAGGCGCGCGACCGCAAGCTATCTCCTGGTGGCTACATTCACTAAATTCCCGGTCACATTTTTCCCGAGCCCGATTGTCCGCAGCTCCATTTACAACGTCTACACGCCGCGCCAGTTCCTTTTACGCTTTTATTTACGCTCCTTTTATTATTTTTAAAGTCCGTTTGTTCCTCGCGCGCCGGCTCTGAGCGGTGGTTATTTATTTTTTGCCGTCGGCCTCCCGGCGACCGTGTGTTGTTGTGTCCCTTGCTTTATTTTTATTTTCGTGCTTCTTATTATGAAGTTAGTTTTTTTTTACTTTATTATTACATGCTCGCGTGTTCACGATGCTTTATTTTTATGTTAAGAGGCGAGCGGTCGACGTTGTTTTTTTTATTAATCGAGGCTCACACCGAATTATGGTCATTAAAGGATAATTTGTATTATGGTAATTTGGGATGCGTGTAATTTTTGTTTCGTGATAAGAATGTTTTTAAACTGATACTCAGATTGATGAGAATCCTTTTGTAAACACTTCAATGTAGTAGAATGTTGCCAAAAATAAACAGAAACTATAGATATTTGTATATTTAATAGATAAGTATATATATACTTAGAATGTAACAATTATTTTATCTTTTTAATCTTATTGTAATTACAGTATTTTATATATTTGTTAACAGGGACCACCGCAACCGGGACAACCAATCAAATTCACGGTTGGTGAATCATGTGATCGTATTAAAGAAGAATTCAACTTTTTGCAAGCACAATATCATAAGTAAGTCGTTTGTTTATTGTACGCTATTCTCTCTCATTAAATGTTCAATTATTTCCTAAAAGACAACAAAGGCAAGTTTAATATAATAGTTTTCTTTTATACAATGTTGTAAAAAAATAACTAAACCAACAGTAAATCTCTGACATGATATAAAGGGCCTAAAGATCATCCAGGATCGTACCTGTCCTTGGGAATCAGCGAAATAATCCCCTACCTGGTCCTTTGAGAGCTCATCTCTTTTTTATACTTACCAAAGCCTTTGACCTTCTTTTGTTATTCGTGAAAAAAGCAACATCAATTTTTGTTAGGAGTGAAAAAAATATCCGATAAATAATCTGGTAAAAGGAATAAATCTTTTAGCTGTTTGTGTTTGATATCATCTACTTTCTAATTGTTTATTCATTAGTTCTGTGAATCATCAAGACTGTGATATTTATTTTGTCTGTGTTTAACAAAGGAAACTAGCATTATTATTTGAGTTAACACATGTCAAAAATCTAATGATTATAATGGGTTTTATTGTATTTCACGCTGACTGTACCTGAAATTAAATGTAATAATATATGTGTATAAAAGAGAAAGGTCACTCATACATCACGAAATCTCAGAAATTACAAGTGCTAGCATTTACAAATTTTGCATGGGGGTTCTTTTTAAGACGTAGGTGCTCACTAAGACGGGATATTGCTAAATTCGACCCCTAAAGGTGTTTTTTGGGGTTGATAATTTGTATGAAACGGGAAAAGTCGCGGGCCACAGCTAGTATAGCATAAAAGAAAGCTTGTTATGTGTGATCAACCTTTTGGACTTAGTAATCTTGAAATTAAACTAGAACGATAAAAATCTATAACAATTCCGACCTATTAAGTCTATAACCGTTCTAAAAGGTTATTTGTTATGTAAACCTTTATCTTTATTAATATTACAAGTGCTCCTTAAATAGAACATCAAGTGCGTGGGACGTTTAGTCAGTTATTAAGTCCGTAAAAACCTACTAATTATCTTTGTGTAATTATATGCTATTATATTTGTAGCGTCCGTCACCGATTGTTGTAAAAACTTTTTAAATGCACTTAAAATTAGGGTTTCAAATTGGTCAGATTATTTAATTATTTACACTTGCTTAATTTTTGTTTCAGCTTAAAATTAGAATGTGAAAAACTGGCTAGTGAAAAAATCGAAATACAAAGGCATTATGTTATGGTGAGTACATATTTCAACTGCACGAATACATCGATCTATATTAATATAACGATTAAAGAAATGGACCAGTTTAACGGCCAAATAGAGATGTTTATCAAATTTTACAGTCATTGTGGCGTGTAAATCAATAAAAGTTATCCTTTTGTTCGACGCTCGTATGTTAGCTGTCATTATTTCGAACGCGATCGCCCCATTAGATTGATCCTCTATTGTTCATTGAATGAGATTTACAGTCTTATGTAAAGCTAAATGAGAACTACTCATCAAACTATTCAAAATGTTGATAACTGTACGTTGTTTACACGCTTAGCGTATCTTATAATAACAAGCGCGCATTTGTCAGTCGTCGTGTAGTGTATATTGGCATGCTTTAATCCCTGAACGTTCATCCCGTCCAGATATGAATCACGATTAAGTGTTGCCAAATCGTTCGCAATTTATTTTAATATGCTCGGGAGAAAATTCTCTCTTGAGAATTTTTATGTGTCGGAAACACTTCTGGCGTGCGTCCAAACTGCGCTGCTGCGGATGTTTGGTCACTCGCCTCCTATAATTTGGGGAAGCCAATCTGTGCCAAAAGCTTTCCGTGTCACACTCGACGCGAACGTTTTATCACATTATATGCTAATCAATTTGACTAATAATACGTATCGTTTCTTTTTCAGTATTATGAAATGTCGTATGGCCTCAACGTGGAAATGCACAAACAGGTATGTGTATTTACTCACTTTACTGTTTTAGATACTAATATAATTTATTGAAATTGCAACTACGTTAGAGTAAAGGATTGGTGAGCGAACTTTGACGGAAATGTCTCCACATTCCAAAAGCTTAACTTGTCGAAAATACTAAATATTAAATATAAAATATATATTAAGTATGATTAAATTGCCATATTTCCATGGAAGGTCGCAAATGTTTTCAGTCTCAAAAACTGCCCCAAGGTGCTAGCCACGTGAGATATTGCTTGTTGTATATTGACTGCTTGACGTGTTGTTTAATTATTTCGACTACTGTACATTTTCCGAGGTCGTTTCCACCTTTCCAAAACACGCACCCTCGCGTATAAAATAATAATTTGTCTAACAATACAGTGGTGGCGTGGTAGAGTAATGTTGTGATGGTGCTTATTTCAATATATTATGATGGAAATATTGCTGGGGGAGAACAGCTTTGAACAACTCCCCTAAATAATGCGTGCGACTAAAACGGAGACTATATCTCCGTGAGTTACAGGCGCTTAGTAGGAATCACAAGGGGTGAATTCATAGGGATGCCTGTTTTATACCAAATGTAAAAATACTATACCCTTACAGAATACTATGATACCGTTAGTTTTGATTTTCATTTCATATTTTTATTAAATATAATTGCTAGATATTTTAAATATTCAGACTCGAGTTACCTAATTGGTAATAAAAAGTCATGATTGTTTATTATGTTTATTACACGAATTCGTCTTCAAAACGTTTAAATTTATACTTAAATATTTATTTAAAGATATAATGATTTGATGGATATGAGGTGGTAACCCTTACCATAGTTGTACAATAGATATCACAGCGAATAGATATTATACACCGAGGGTTCCGTACGCCTGAGGGTTGATCCGCGGGGGTTCTGCAGTAATCTGTTGATTTTACGCTCGCTGGCCGACCCGCTTGCATCGCTCGCTCGAACCCTCACTTTTAATAATAGCACGGCTTTAACACGTCCTCGAAATGGAACGAAAATCAATTTAAAACGCTCAACGTTCTAATAAGAAACACTCATTCGTTTCACACATCAATAATTTCTCACGTGGATTTTTAATATGGAACATGTGTTTTTGTTCCTTGATCGTTTATTAATACCACAGTTCTATACACGTTGGTGTCGCAAGGCTAGTAATTTCAATTAATTGTGTATGTAATTAATTGAATTTACTTTTGCATATAATACGTTTACTTATGTATTCAAACAACACAAAATAATGAACTCGTACGGAGGATAGTTTGAAAATCCTCTTATAATATCGCAAAACCGACGGCGACAAGCAATATTTGTTTAGGGTCTGGCAAACTAGCAACGAGGGTGATTAGATAGGGTCGTATTGTTTGCCGCTGCGGCGGACAGATAGCGGCCCGACGGTTCAATGCTTGAATGCGCTATTTAGCGTACACTGCCGCGCTTCATTGTAATGGATTATTACATTAGCACTTAACACGCTCAGTCGAGCGGAAACCAGAATACTGCCCCTCCAGCATTTGTGAACGCAGAACAACAAGTAATGTTTTTGCATTTTTTATTTCCACTATCATGTATGTTTTCTGTTCGGCGTTGCGTTACATTATCTGAGCTCAAACACTCAATGAATGAGATTGGAATAAATTTTTGGAGTGGAAAATTAAGATTTGTTTTTCCTTGATTTTTTTAAATTGTCATTGAACTTATTAAGTTTGAAGGTCGTGTCTGATGTATTTAATATTTTTATATGATGTATTTATTTATACGTTTTAGTGGCAGTTGTTATAGAGTCGATTTTGTCGCGTCCGGTTGGTGCGTCGTGTCCTGACCGCGTCTAACGCGTGTTTTCCGCTCTTTCTGACGACGACTAATTGCTTAGATTTTCTTTTGTTAGTCTCGGGGCCAGACCGTAGTAGTGAGACCGTGCCGAATCACACCTACTTACGCCGTGAATTGATTGTAACGTCTTTGTGTTGCTGTATCGACACGGAGACTTATTGTTCTGAGCTTCGAGCCATTCTTCACGCCCGAGCTGACTTTCACGCTGCCGATTATTGCAACGGTTTTCCGTATTTAGAGTTGGGCTATGACGCGGTCTGTTATCTGCGCGGTCGTTGTAATTAAATGTTCGCCGATAAAGTTGATAAAACGAGTCAACAGCGGTTGAAGTGCAATAAATTTATAACGATGGAGTGCTTTCATTGAGTGTCACGAATGTCGAGAGATAATACGGCCGGTGTTGGCGACCGCGTTTCTCTATATAAAAATGTATTTTGTCGTATGAAGCACCCCTGAGTCACCCTCGCTACCACTCGTTATAAAATATCATGCGGCAAAGAAACTCGTACCGAATATACGCTGCATTATTTGTAAGTGCCTTGGACGTTTCACTGTTATTGATAGAACACAGTAAACAATACAATATTGCTATCGTTTTAACGATACGTAAGTTCCTTCCTTTTAGTACATTTAGTACAATTTCAATGAAAACAAAATAATAATTATCACAATCTAATAGCTTTCCTGTTTCAATGTCTCGGTTCTCAGTGTATTGACTTTTCAAATAAAGTGTTCCTCGTTTAATGTAATTGTATCACGTATACATCAATTAGAATAATAGTGGGGTGAAGGAAAAAAAGACCGGCGCTTTCGAAAACGGAGAGCGCGGTCCGTATAATTTAATCATTTAGGGGTTATTGCGATTCCGTGCACGCGGCAACGCCAGCCGACCCGCCCGCCCCTGATGCTTCTCAAATTATTCATACGCACGCATAGTCACCATTGAGAGCTGTTTTATTTTAAGTATATACCCTCCATAACTCTGTGACGATTTCTTTTTGTTAAAAAGTTTGAACAATTAAAACGAAAATGGACGAGTTTCATTGTACGTTACATATTTATTGTTTGTATACAAAAAATTGCTCAAGTGTAATGATAGTTTTAATACAAATAATATTCTTATTTACGTTTATGCTATATTTAAACTTAATAAATTAGTGCAAAAAATGCAGAACTGACTTTATGCAGACACAGTTATTTATTATTATAAATTCTACTATTCTGCTAATAAATATATTAATTTTCTTATTATAAGTAATTATCCATATAGTTCTTTCTTTTATATTATTTGTTTTATCTTTACTGATATGATATTCATTGTACACGTATGTGTGCGTATGTCGCACAATTTAAATTCCAATAAAAATCATTGATACTCCATTTGACGTTTGATGTCTCAACATATCTTATTTAATGATTGACTTTTAATTGTCTCATGAAAAATGTAGGGACGGCCTCAGTGCGGGTGGTGCCCGCATATAAGGGACCCAGTGGCACCCCTCGGGCACTCATTGATAAAAACACTGCACGTGCCCGACCCGCCTTCCCACTGTTTATAATGAAACCAGGGGATTTGAGCCATGTCCATAATCCTGTTTGTTTTCCCTATCAATTGCTGTGCTATTTCTATAGAGGATTATGAACCGACTCCTAAAAACAAAATTTGTTCGAGTAACTTTTAAAAATTTACATACTGTTTATCTTTAAAATTTTATCGTCTTACAAAACGTTATTTGTTAATGAACTAATTCTTTCTGATTAAATTTAGTTCCGTCAGATTAATTTAATCCTTTACTACTTAACGTGTAAATTATTAGATAATGGTAAGCTCATACATAAGCCCTTTGAGGCTGAAGGTTGTTTTAATATCATATCGAAAGGTATAACATTAAACCAAATTACGAACAATATCAGCTAATTGCTACATTGTCATCATTATATTTATTCAAATTTCAACACTGTAATAATATTGCATTGTTAGAAACGTGGTGCTTTCAAATTATATGTGTCGAGCGTTCGCATGCAGGTAGTCGTTAAGGGCCCTGCATAAAGCGCTATCTGATGCATCTACAACCTTGTGAATTGTCGTAACGAACGCTCGCTCGGTCGCGTCGCTTCACCCCGGCTAAAAACGAAATTATCTCTCCATCGGAGGGCGTCGCGCGGCAGATGGTGCTCGCAATAAAACCGCTAAATGCGATATCGCCGCTGCCCCTACGCTTTATTATTTGATCGGGGAGCCAAATTAAAGGATTTGCCGTAACCCCTCGCATGCGACCCCTCGCCCGTCAACAATCACCTCTGTATTAAGTCTAATTGTGTTTTCGAATTCAGCTCTTCCAATGTCGGAGATGTAAAAAAAAAAATAGGGCGCGCTCGCCCTAAGCTTTATTAAATTCAATCTACATCATGTTCTACAATAATAAATAGTTAGTGATATTTATTTTGAAAGAAAGAAAATTTATAAAGTTTTTTTTCTTGATATGAAAACTAACACAAGTCTCGAAAAACAAATTAAATAATTAAATAAATATCACTGAACACGTTCTAGGTATGTATGTACTATGTTTCTTTTATATGTTATTTGATGAGGCATTTCCCTGACATGATACTATCTGTTAGACTTTACGAAACGTTTTATTAGTGACTTTCGGTCGGGCAATTTAACGATTCAATGTTCGTGCGCGCTAAGTTATCCCGTGTAATGTGGCCGTGAACACTCGTGACTAATAAACACAGTTTTATTGCGTGCCTAAACCACGTAATGGAAGAACATAATGATATGCGGTACTCACTCACTATCTCTTATTTTGTTCCATATAATAAAGGCTAATTTCGCGTCTTTGTTATACAACAAAGTAATGGTTTATTATGCTTTATTAAATATTTAATGAATAATTGATTTCATTCAAAATCTATTGTTTAAAAAATGCTTAAATATTTGATTTTAAAAAGACTTTCAAATATATCATATCGCTCCTCGATATCTGACAAAACAAAACCCAAACAAAACATACGTCGCCGTCGAACAGAGAACCTCTTCCTTTTCGATTTTGAAATCAGTTAAAAACAAGATCACAACGTTGTTTCTATTGTGATAAAACGTATTTTTATTCATTATAAATTCGTATTATCTAATCAGTTA